AAACAGTAATTTGTCTTTTTTATTCTCAATATCCAAAGTTTGTTTCCAAAATTTCTTGTTTATAATAAAATTGAACTATCGCAGACTTTTAATTTAATTTTTTATTGAAAATTTTCATATTGTCACCGTCTGTTTTATAAAGGAAGTTTTTAGATTTTCTTCTGTTTTTTCTCTTTCCAGAATTTTGTTTAACAAAACTTAAGTAATTTTGTTTTTCGTGTAGTAGAAGACTTTTTGTGTTTCTTAGTTTTTAAATTTTATCAAGAAGAAATTTGAAAGGAGAAAAAATAAAATTGGTTTCCAATTTGTGATTTTTTCGCTTTTTTTGAAAAGAATTGAGTTGATGACAAAAGCAAATTCTTCTTTTACCATTAAAACAAATTTTGTTAACATACAGGGTGATCAAAAAATATGAAACCAAGTGTTTTTTTTAATTTTTTGTCTTTAGAAAATAATTATTAATTGAAATTAAAGTGATATAAAACGTAGATAATTGGTCATTTGAAAAAATAAAAATTTTGTAGAATTTCGAAAAATTTTATTTTTCACTTTGTTTTCAACCGAAATTTTTTATTACTGTTTCTTTTGTGATTAATTAATGAATTTTTTTAAGCAGTAATTTTACTCCCTTATTCTTAATGTCCGATTTTATCATGATATTACCAATCCCCCCGTCAAAACGTCTCGCAGGTGCACCAGCATTTTTCACGCAAGACTAGTCACCTTCCAGTTTAATGCCCTTAAACATGCCAAGGTGGAATCATCCACCCTCATGCCATTTTTTTAAATTAAAAACTACCCTTATTTCGTTTCAGTGTCGTTCGGTTACAAAATGAGTTGAACAACTTTAGTCTCCACAAAAGCGCAAGCGAACCAACGATGGTCGCCCCAACCCAACCCCAACAGGACAGCTCTCCCGATACCCCCCAACCCGCCCCTTACGACCTTAATAAGGGCTGGATGACCGGAATTTTCGGCTGCTTAAGGCCAGTTTTATCCGTCATAGGGCGAGGGGCAGTGAGTGAGATCAAAAATAGTCATCAAGGTATGTAATTATGCCGAAAAAAAATTGAAAATTCCATTTGGCTCGATTTTAAGCCAGAAATCAACAAAATAAATGCTTAAGTAACACTATTCTACCAAAATAAAGCCATTTCTAATCCATTTTTGCTCGATTTTAACACCGGAATCATTCAAAATAAATGTATTTTAAAAAAATAATTGCTTAAATTTCAATTTTAACCTAAATCAATGTATTTCAACAAAATAAATGTTGAAATAAGAGTTTTTTGCCAAAATAAAGAAATTTGAGCTAATTCCAATCTACTTTTGCTCGATTTTAATACAGAAATCGTTCAAAATCAATGAATTTTATAGAAATAATTGCTTAAATTTCAATTTTAAGCTAAAATGAAGCAATTTCCAATCGATTTGGCTGAATTTTAAGCTATAAATCAACCTAAATCAATGAATTTCAACAAAATAAATGTTAAAATAAGGGATTTTTGCTAAAATAAAGCAATTTTCGTCATTTCCAATGTAATATTGCTCGATTTTAACACATAAATCATTCCAAGTCAACGTATTTTATAAAAAATAATTGCTTAAATTTCAATTTTAAGCCAAAATGAAACAATTTGTCCTATATTTTCAATCGGTTTGCCTTAATTTTAGGCCAGAAAATATTCACTGTAAACTAAAAAAAATATTTGCAGTTAGTTTTTTTAGTATTTTTTATAAATTGTCTGTTTTTGTTTTTATTTTGCTGAAGAAATTTTATTTTCAATTTATTTTTAATCGAAAATTTTTATTAGGCACCTACTGTTTCTTTCTTTTACTTTACCTTTTGATTTTTTTATGGATTAATGAATTTTTATAATTTTTTTCTGATATTCTCAATATCCAAATTTTATCATGTTATTTTATTTTATCATATAATCCCCTCGTCCAAATTTGTTGTTTATAAAAAAATCGCAGATTTTGAGATTAATTTTTATATTCGAAGTTTTCTTATCACTTTCTGTGTTTTACAAGAAGAAATTTTTAGATTTTTTTCCTGTTTTCTCTATGTCTAGCATTTTGGTTTTCATAATAAACTTAAGTAATTTTGTTTCTTGTGTAGTTGAAAACTTTTTGTTTTCTTATTTTTTGATTTTATCAACAAGACTTTTTTCTTGTTTTCTTTTTTTTCCAGCATTTTGCAATTTGAGCTATTTCCAATCTAATTTTGCTCGATTTCAATACAGAAATCATTCAAGATCATTGTATTTTATAAAAATAATTCTTTAAATTTCAATTTTAAGTCAAAATAAAGAAAATTTTTTCAATTTCCAAACGATTTGGATGAATTTTAAGCCAGAAATCAAGATAAATTAATGAATTTTAACAATATAAATGCTCAAATAACGGTTTTTCGCCAAATTAAAGCAATTTGCGTCATTTCTAATGTAATTTTTCTCGATTTTAACACAGAAATCATTCGAAAACAATGTATTTTACTTAGATTTCAATTTTAAGTCAAAATAAAGCAATTTGAGCTATTTCCAATCCAATTTTACTCGATTCCAACACAGAAATTATTCAAAATCAATGCATTTTATAAAAATAATTGCTTAAATTTCAAATTTAATTCAAAATTAAGCAATTTTTGCAGTTTTCAATCGATTTTGCTGAATTTTATGTCAAAAATCAACTTAAATCTTCAACAAAATAAATGCTCAAGTAACGTTTTTTTGCTAAAATAGAGAAATTTGCATCATTTCTAATGTAATTTTGCTCGATTTTAACACAGAAATCATTCTAAATCAATGTTAAATCAATTTTAAACCAAAATGAAGCAATTTGTCCTATTTCCAATCAATTTTAAGCTAGAAATTAACCTAAATTTCAACAAAATAAATGCTCAAATAAAATATAGAGCAATTTGAGCCAATTCCAATGTAATTGTGCTCGATTTTAAACAAGAAATCATTCTAAATCTATGTATTTTATTTATTATAAATTATTATTATTTTTTTAGATGATTGGGAAATTCCTTTTGAACAAATCACAGATTTGAAGTACTTGGGATCGGGTGGTCAGGGGACGGTTTTCTCCGGGATGTTGAATAACCAACCAGTGGCTGTTAAAAAAGTCTACGACATTAAAGAAACCGATATTAGGAATTTGAAAAAGTTGAATCATCCTAACATTGTTAAATTTAAAGGAGTTTGCACTCAACTTCCTTGTCTCAGTATTATAATGGAGTATTGTCCATATGGGCCCCTCTTTAATTTACTCAAAAACCAGAAGAATGTCGTGACAATTAATCGAGTTGTCTCTTGGGCGAAACAAATCACAAGTGGTATGCATTATCTTCACTCCCAGAAGATTATTCATCGAGATTTGAAAAGTCCCAAGTAATTTTTTTGGGTAAATTAAATTTTTATTATTTTAATAACAAATGACGTTTTAGTGTTTTAATTGGGGAAGAAGAAGTGATCAAAATTAGTGATTTTGGTACTTCACGCACTTGGAATGGTGTTAGCGAAAAAATGAGTTTTGCTGGAACCGTTGCTTGGATGGCCCCTGAAGCCATTAAAGAGTTAGAATGTTCGGAAAAAGTCGATATTTGGTCGTTTGGTGTCGTTTTATGGGAATTACTCACGTGTGAAGTACCATATGATGGGATGGAACAAAGCGCCATCATGTATATGGTCGGGTGTGGGAAACTAAGACCACCAATACCAAAAACGTGCCCAGATGGGTTCAGACTCATCATGGAAATGTGCTGGAAACTGAACCCCAAAGAACGACCTTCCTTCAAACTCATTTTGAATCATTTACAAATCGCGTCGGTTGAGGTAACTGTCTTAAATTTACCGGAAAAAATATCATTTTCGAGTTACAGATTTTGGGTAAATATGAAGATAACCAATTCTTCAAAACACAAGAAAGCTGGAAGGAAGAAATCAAGTCTCAGATAACCCAATTCAAGGCCCAATTGCAGAAACAACGAATCGAGTTTCAACTCAAAGAAGAACAATTGATCCAAAAACGTGAAAACGAAATAAAACATGTTCGCGATATCCGGGAATTGTACGACCGGAAGTTGGAAAAAGTCCACCAATTATACTTGGAATTGTCTGCAGTGTTGCAACAAGTTGAACAATATAACCGTCAAGGGGGCCGTAAACGCGACATTCAGAAAAATCGACGTCTAATTAACCCTTTTGTACGCAAAATGGAACGCAGAAGGAGTAATCATAGTACGACCCCCACGAGTCCCGAGTGTAGTCTCACGAGCCCCGACAGCCCCCAAACTGTAAGTAGATTCATGGGCGAAAAAACGAAAAAAAAAGGAATTTTGTTTATTGTGTAGTTGAAAACTTTTTGTTTTCTTATTTTTTGATTTTATTAGTAAGAAATTCATAAGAAATTTCATCAAAATAAATGAATAAATAACAGTTTTCTGCCAAAATAAAGCAATTTGAACTAATTCCAATCTAATTTTGCTCGATCTTAATACAGAAATCATTCAAAATCAATGAATTTTATAGAAATAATTGCTTAAATTTTAATTTTAAGCCAAAATGAAGCAACTTTTGCAATTTGCAATTGATTTGGCTCAATTTTAAGCCAGAAATCAAGCTGAATCAATGATTTTCAACAAAATAAATGCTCAAATAACGGTTTTTTGCCAAAATAAAGTAGAAATCGTCCCATATCAATGTATTTTATAAAAATAATAGCTTAAATTTTAATTTTAAGCCAAAATGAAACAATTTGTGCTATTTTCAAACGATTTGGCTCAATTTTAAGCCAGAAATCAACCTAAGTCAATGTATTTAAAAAAATAAATGTTTGAATAACAGTTTTCTGCCAAAATAAAGCAATTTGAGCTATTCTCAATCCAATTTAACTCGATTCCAACATAGAAATTATTCAAAATCAATGTATTTTATAAAAATAAGTGTATAAATTTCAATTTTAAGCCAAAATGAAACAATTTGTGCTATTTTCAATCGATTTGGCTTAATTTTAATCTAAAAATCAACCTAAATCAATGAATTTCAACAAAATAAATGTTAAAATAACGGATTTTTGCCAAAATAAAGCCATTTTCGTCATTTCCAATGTGATTTTGACACACAGAAATTTTACACAGAAATCATTCTAAGTCAATGTATTTTATCAAAAATAATTATTTCTAAAAAAAGTTATTAGGAAAGACAAAGTTTTAAAATGGGGCTCAGAATATTCAAAGTAAGGCTACTTGGCCCAGCTTGGAGGTATCAACTTTTCATTAATGCAATTAATTTGAGATGAGTAAAATTGGGGTGTGCAAAAGTTAAATAAATGATCTCAAAAATTAGTCAGTATTGGTT